ACCTATGCATGGATATATCTGAAGATAACTCACACAGACCTATGCATGGATATATCTGAAGATAACTCATATACACACCTATGCATGGATATATCGGTAGATAAGTCATACATGCACCTATGTATGGATATATCTGTAACACTCACATATATATAGTAAAATGGGAAAATTTTTTAATTAAATTTAAATGAGGGATTAAGTCCATTAATCTCACCAACTTTCTATAAAATTAATATTTCAAAAATTTTAGGGGGCTAAAATTATACAACTCAGTGGTAGAGTCTGCAGTGGACCCTGGGCTCCATTCCTAACAAAACCGGAGCAATAATAAACTATCATCTGGAGTTGAAGTGCCCATGCAAAGCTTACAGATGAACACTGAAATGAGAAGTCGCAGGGTCTTCAGGGGGGAGGGGCAGGCTAAAGCACTTAATGTAAAATACACACCGTCATTTCCTGGGTCCTATTCAAGAGAAAAGCAGCTGTGAGTCTCACCCTACTGGCTACGCCCTTATTTATGTATGTATTTCCTGACTCTGGAAAAACGAGCTGAGTCAGGCATCTGCCGCCATCACTTCAAACACATGAACAAGTAGAGGGCATTTTAAAGATTGTGGCATGGAAAATGTTTCCCCTTAAATAGGCTCTAACAAACTTGAAACTAAACAGGCCTTGTGGTAAAGGAACTTAAGCAGTCACTGGGCTGCACAGGAGCTGACAGAGAAGCGTGGCCTGGACTGCCCCAAGAGACGCAATGCCCCACTGGCGGCTACTGGACTGTACGATGCCCAGGGCCCTTTGAAAACTGCCTTCACTTCTGACATCAGGTACCGCACGTCACACCCTTCCATGTGACAGATTGAACAATGGCACTTAAATCACCTGTCAGGAAATAGCGTGGTTGTCCTTAAGACAGCCCGCGGTGGTTTAAAACAGAGGCTTCTTTTGTAACGTTTTAATGTCAGCTCTTAAAGACCTCAAAGCACAACCTGGATTTAAGTGTCTGACAAACAAAAAAGGACACCAGCTCAGTTTGGAAGAAACATTGCTTCTAAAATTTTACATTAAATTTTTTTCATGCCAGGAGACCATTTTTACTCAATTTTTCTAGTGAAGGATCTTTTTCCCCCTTTATGAAGGCATCAGCTGTCAACTCTTAAACCTTTACATGTAAAGCTTACCTAGTGAGCCATTCTATGTCATGGGTGGAAACAGGTGAAATACAGCCTGCACACACAATCAAGGATAACTGCAGCTTTGCTACAGATTCTCAATTGTTGCAAAACTCAGAGATTTGCTGTTGAAACACCCTAAGTGCCTCCAACAGCACAAGCATGCCCGTGCAGCCCGGGCGAGTGTTTTAGATTGCAGACACGGGCTTCCCAGTGGCCATCACATCCCACTGGCTCCAGGCAGCAGCACCTCCAGGTCTCACTTCATAGTTAAAGGCATGGCTTTTCTATAATTTTGTCATCAGCACTTTTAAAACTTTATGAAGTAAGTCTTCTGTGTTCCTGGATTAAACTTAGGCTTGACTTGTAAGCAGCGAGAAGCACAGCGCACTCTCCACATGTCCTCATAGGAAGCACTGCCCAGGGAGAGATGGACTCTTTGGTTAGCATAAAGGACAAAGGTCTTCCTCATCGTGGATCTATCACATCCTCCAAGAGCAAATGGAAGCGCTCAAAACCCAGACTGATCCAAGGCATCCTCGGGAGGCCCCTATGAAAGGACAAAGCAAACCTAGTTCTGTGTCCTTGCCTCGCCCAGGGGCAACTTGGCAAGGGCTGGGCTGGGGCGAGGGCCCTGAAGGAGTTAAGGTTTCAGTTCCTGGGAACTTACCTTTTCCCCTTGAAGAGGCTGCAGTATCCATTCCAAGGCTGCTGCATGCTCAGTCTGCAAGGACTTGAGCCATCCTGTGTTCCCCTTGTGCAACATGCCTTGATTAGTTCATCTCACTTGACTTCAGCTCACTGCTTTCCACTCTGGCCCATTTTCTCTCAAGAGACTGTATACCAGATGTTGTACTTAATAAACTTAGCATAAAGACATAGCTTTGCAAGACTTCCCGAACCCAACTTTACTATCATCTTGATTTTCTGAAGCCCCGGCACTCCCTCTCAGAAACCTGTCATGGAAGAACAACCTGTTGGTCCAGGTCAGAAGACCCCATCCACCTGACACCCAGATTTTGCTGCCTCTAAAGAAGTTCAAGGCTTGCTTTGTGGTACAGCCGATTACACAGTGACCTTCAATCAAGAACGTCTCCCCTTTGTACTTATCATACTGCTAGGGTGTGATGCATGCTACTTACATGGAAGATTTCCATGCTCTCACTTGCCAGAGCTCACTTCCCCTCAGTATCATTCCATACCCTAGCCATGGTTTTTTAACAGAGGGAAAGTCTCGATAACCTTTCCAGGAGCCAGCCAGTGAGTTTAGCGACCACGTCCTGTCACTCACCTGGGAACATGTCACTGGCACACAAGACAAGGCGCCAGCTGATGCTGCCCACAACTCAGTGTCAAGGAGTACCACCACCTCTCCACTAGCCTCCTCCCCAGAGCCCCACACTCCAGGTGCATTCCCTTCAAATCTGGGCAGACTTTGTATTTAAAGTGGTAAAGATGTGGGAGAACTACCTGAAGGGATGTCACAGGACCAGGCCTTCTGCTGTCAATGCTCCCTGGCTGACAATCCTGTGCTCACATTAGTTACAGAGCATGCTCTAAGCAGCTCATTAGTGTTGGGTTCTAGTTCCGACTCAGACCACTTCCAGGACATTGTGGTACAGGGGCACTCCTGTTAGGTGCTGGGCTCCAATACTCGGTGAGTTCCAGACAGGATGAACTCGATGGCCATGAACACTGCTGAGCCCAGGCACTAGTGTCTATGAAGAACGTCACACTGCTGTGTCAGCAGGATCCACATTTTCTCAAGGAGTGGTTGAACATATTTGCCTCATAGAACGAAAAGGACCAGCAGAGGTCTTTAGAGGATGGAAGAGTGAATGAGATTATTTAACTCAACTCTGAAGGGGTAACATTTTTATTTCCTTTCTAAAACAAATATGAAAATATAAACTTGATATAAGCTGTTTCAGTCAGTTTTCAGATCGTCTATTCAGAGATGTTTTGTAACAGCCAAAACCATGATAAAGTATTGCTGGTGAGGAAGCTTGGCATTAATACTAGGTAGCTGTATTTCAGTATGTCAGTCTGACCCAACCACAAAGGTCAGCTGGCTGCTTTGCTTAAATTAAGCTTTTCAATATTTTTAAGACAGAAAAATTCTCTAATCCTTTTCCACCTGACAGGTATATGAGAGAGAAAGAGAAAGTGTGTCATTAATGATACAGATCAAGAAAATGACTACCACTCAATGGGAATATAACCTGAATCTCTGCTACAATGTGAACAGAAAGAAATGTACTTAACAAACACCTTACACTAACTATTGAAATACAAGGTCCTTCTAGCCCCCATTCTCAGGGGCTGAAATCCACACCCGGTGACAAACACAGGCTCAGGCCGCTCTACTGAAGGGCCTGGCTTTTTGGAGATCCAGGAAAAAAATTACAACATGAAAGGCCAGGTCTGTGAGCTTTCCTGTGAACTCCACTAGCTGTGGCACAACAGGCTGACAGTCTTTGATCATGAAGCAGAAATGAAGAATGGAAGGTTTTCCTCTAATCCTCACTCAAGAATGGCATTTTAGCAAAGCTCTGACAAGCAGGAAACACAGTTATGTCAGGAAGTTAACATTCTCAACATGGCAGGGCATCCCCAGAGGGTGCCAACAACCAGATTAAAGACTAAGGAGAAGCAGCAATCTCCTTACCACTGGGCTAGGAAATGGCTTAATGGAGTCACGTTTGGAAACAATGAAGTATAAGCCCTATATACTAGCTTCCCGTCGGCTGACTTTTCAGACTCCTTAGCTTACGGCACAGTTAAAACATCTTCAGCTGCAGAGTCAGCATGCGGTGCTTCGATTTCTGCCTGTGTTACAAAAATCAGGTTCCATTAAAAACATTATCTTCTGTTTCTTAGAGAACTACTGCTCATGAAAGGGTCGTCGTCATCATCCTGAAATGACACAAACATTAGGTCAGCGACCACTCATCCTGCTGAGCCAAGACAGAAATTCTTCTTATGCAAAGTAGCATCAGGGAAATCACATTTATTTCACCTATCTCCTCTGATACTGTGAAATGTAAATGCTCAATTCTTTATGTATTAGAATAAAAATCTACCAGGTCCTGTGTGAGATAATATATCTATAAAATACAATGCACACATTTCTCCAAGTCACAAATCTTAATAAAGGCAAACAAGGTGTGGGAATTCCAGGACAGAAAATATTCAAGTCATTTCTATTCCGTTCGTGAAGTTTTCTCACTCACATTATTATTATTATTATTATTATTATTTTACTATTATGTATATGTGCATGCACACACATGCATGGTTGTGTGCCCTGTCAGGACAACTTCATGGAGCTGGATTTCTCCATCCACCCTTTGTGGGCTCCAGGGCTCACACTCGGCTGCCAGGCTTGGCTTGTGCAGCAGCGGTTTCACCCACTGAATGGCTGGCCTCAATTCCACTTGTCACTGTGTCTGCCCCAAGTCTGAAGGACCAAGGTTCTCGTTTCCTGTCACCCACTGCATGACAGAGAAGATGGCTTTCAGCCCAGTGGAGGAAAGAGCCGAGCAAAGCTGACTTTCAGCTTCTGCAGAAAAAGGTAGATGGTCTATTTCCGGTGTTCCCAAGCTAATGGGATGTCGGAATAAATACGAATATCAGCCATTAAGAATTTAATGAGAATGAGAACAGCTAACTAGGTCTATGGCACAGGTGTGTCATCCCAGCTGCTGGGAGGCTGGGATGAGGCAGGAGGATCACATGTTCAAGTCCTGTTTGGCTACAGAACGAGTGCAAAGCCTTGGTAGCTGTGTGAGGCCCTGTCTCAAGGGAAAGACAAAAAGGCAGGCGTTATAGCTCAGTGGTTGAGAGCTTGCCTAGCATATGCCAGGCCCAGGGTTCAAACCCCAGTCATAAAGAAAAAACAGCTAGCAAGCCTTATATAAAGCCTAATTATATAATCTGATGAAAGACAGTAATAAATGAATGGTACTTTAAAGCTACATATTTGAAAGGTAAATTTATGTTTATAAATTTGTTTCCATTAAGATGTTAGTAAAAGCAAGTGACTATTTAGTATTTGACTTTACTTATGACATGAACAAATCCATGTTTTATGAAGTTCTCTAGTGAGAAATGGATGCCTTGAGGGTCACAAATTCAACTGTTGCTGATTCATTTTCTGTACTATGAAAGGCAGGCCTTGCCAAAGACACAAAGGAAAACTGATAATGTGCCTTCAGTTCTCTGTAGTTAAATGCCAAACAGTATATATCCATTTTCTTTTCTTCTGTGTGTATGCATTTTTGTGCTCAAGTGCATCTGCTCATAAGCCCCTGGGATCCAGGCGTCCCCGTTCCCAGTACTGGACTACAGGGGTGTGTGGCCACGCCCAGCTTCTGTGTGAGTGTCACACGAGGTCTCAGGTCCCCTGCTTGTGCAGCAGCCATCAGATCGTCCCTCACCCCTTGGTGTACTCATCTGAAACCACCATCCATGGACATCAGCTGTGTCCCCAGTGGCAGCAACATGTCACCGCTCAACAGGCACACTGAACACACAGCCCAAGGGCCAGCAAGCCTGGCAATCAATCACAAATTCGCAGCTAAGACACAAGGAACAGGACCACAACAGTAGATGCTCTGAACAGAGTCAGGACACACACCATGGATGAAAGGAAGGGCAGTCGCAAGGGGCATAAGCCAATCACACAAAAATCGCTGGGAAATTTCATGACACAAGGATGTACAGCAGACAAAGTCAGAGAAGGGAGAGCACAGTGGTGAGTGCCAGGGGCCAGGGACAGCGGTAGAGACACTGGGGTGTGTTTAAAGGACATACTTACAGTTTTGTAAGACAAAAGTTCTTAAGGTCTGTTTTACAACACACATCTGTTTAATACTACCAAGCTACATTTAAAATGGCTAAGACGTGATTTTCTGTTATGCGTTCTCACTACAATCATAATTTTTAAGAAACTAAATGAAAGTGAAGACAGGCTCAACAAAAAACATCTACAAAGCTTGCAGCGGTTCAAGTGGCAGCCGTATGGGAACAGGAAAGGCCAGGGTCCTGTGTCTCACAGCTATGCCCTCTTCATTAAACAACAGATGAACACAGGAGAGGTGCGTGCACTTCCTCCCACTCCTCGTGAGTTAAAGCCCGTGAGAGCTGGGTGTAGACCACACTCTGTCCTTGCCGCGTACCTGTGCTGAGGAAGCATTCTGTCCAGGGTATGAAACGGGGGTGGGGGTGGGGTGGGGTGGGGTTGCAGGGAACATTTCACTGGGTAACCTTAAAAGCTCTACACCAGCATCACCCCACTCTCCAAATAGAAACAGCAGAAGCTAAAAGAAAAAAGCCAAGCCAGCTCTGATCTGTTAATGGGACAAATGAGAGCAGAGTGAAGATTGTGCTTTAAAAACCCACAGGCCTTTATGGGTAATTACACTGATGGGCACTTACTGACTTTCAACATTACAAGTCACAGCGAGGTTATCAGCGAGCCTAAAAATACAAGCTGCAGTGCGTAGCCAGTGGTCTCCACTTACATTTCATAGACAGTTAAGGGAAGAAAAAGCCAATGACATGACTATTACCTCATCTGATTCAAAGTCAACTCCCTTGGCTGTCTGGCTCTGGGACATCCGTTTGCTAGATGTTGTGCCTGGCCACCTGAGGAAGAGAGAAAAACCAAGAGTGAATGAGAACACTGAAAAAATGCACTACTAGTTAGAAGTGTTTAGTCCCATAGCAACCACTGAGTAGAAACAACACACAGTTCCCTTTAGTATCTATAATAATTTACGTATCTATGTGCACTAAGAGATGATATACTACATAGACACAGTGTGTGTGTGCATCCTACAAGCTCTATTTCTCTGGGGAGTCCGAAGAACAGCACTACCTGCTTCTCAATTAGTGAACAGTACAATAAACATTTTTAATAAGAAACAAAAACCTTAATGGTAAGAAAACCATCTTCTAGCTTTGTTACCCCTCTGCACCTAAACTTCCTCATCTGTCAAGAGGGGAAATGTTGGTTTTTTTAAAGAGCTATGCGCTAATGCGCTGAAGCACTAGGCCATGGTCTGAGATGTTAGCCCCACCCAAGTGCCGCCTTGTACCACTACTATAGGACCAGCTCCCCTTCACAGCTGCACAGGATCTCGGGACAAGCTCACTGCTCTCCAGAGCATCTCCACCACATCCCACAACACTTGTTCTCTTCCATAAGCACTCACAATCAAGGGCCCGAATCACAACATTTCACACAAAACTTTGAACTAATTCAATCATCCTTAATGCGGTTGTCTCTGTTGAACCCCTTTCAGAACAGTTTAAGTCACCTAAGTCTGCAGCCAAAATCAAAAATCTGCTATGTACCATCAGACCTAATAGAACATGAAAACAGTAAGTGTTAACAAAAGAAAAGGGGGCTACAGATGATTTTCTTTTTAAGGAAAATACATACAGGATATGTATGTACCAGGTACATACAGTGTCCCGAGGCCAGATGAACCCTCCTGGAACTGAAGTTACATGGCTGTGAGCTAGCATGTGGATGCTAAGAACCAAACCAGGTTGTCCACAAGAGCACCAAGTACACCCAACTAGCGAGCGATCTCTCCAGCCCCCTTGATCATTTTCTATATAGGTAGAAATTTTTAATGATTTTTAAGTAATGGTATTTGCCCAAAATGTTAATACACAAAATTGTGATTTTTAAATAGTTTAATAAATATTCCAAAGTGAGTCAATTAAGTACTCCAGAATTGAGTAAGTCTACATCAGCCTCTTAAGTACTCTAGAGTAACTCCATGTCAGCCAGGTAAGTATTCCAGAGTAAGTCTATGTCAGCACAAATGTACTCCAGAAGAGGTCCAGCCACCCACATAAGTACTACAGAGGAAATCCAATCAGACACATAAGTCCTCTAGAGTAAGTCCACATCAGCCACTTAAGTAATCTAGAAGTCTAGTCAGATACATAAGGACTATAGAGGAAGTCCAATCTGACAAACAGGCACTCCAGAGTAAGTCCACATCACCCACATAAGTACTAGAAGTCCAGTCAGTCACATAAGTACTCTAGAGGAAGTCCA